GACACAAGGGAAGGATCAAAGTCAAGGCACTAAGCCGTGCTGGCCTGCCTCTTCTGCAAGGCAGTTCCACCTCCTGCTTGGGCTTGGTCCTGCTCTGACACTTCTTCATTTTTATAGAGGAAGAAAAGGAGGGGAACTGACGGAGGTTAAGACAAGAAGATTGGCTCTAAGTTCAAACCATCTTAGGAGCTCTAAAAGAATTCCAGGTTGAGTGATGGTCACATTTACTCCCCAGAAACTTTTTCATAAACATCCACCACTTAACATGCAATTTCAAGAAACACAAATACTGTCCCTGTGTGTCAGCTTTTATGGAAGGGAGATTTCCAGAGCTGCTTCTGTGCTACATGCCTAACACCACACCTACGATCCTATTAATGTTATACTGATGACAGCCTTCCCCACTGGCCTACCCGTGAAGGTTGCATCTGCCCCTCCAGAAGAATGTATAGGCCTCCTCTGACTCTGTACAGCAATGCCAGTCTCCTTCCTTCCGTTGCTCCTAGAAAGATGGATGCTGGTGTCTCCTACGCTCTACATCTGAGACTGGAGGGGACTGAAGATGTATTTTGTTGATAGCTCTAGGCAAATGAATAAAGTAACAGGAATAACAGCCAGGGATGCTGAAAGATGTTTCTATGGGTTGTTTGCATCATATACCATTGCTTTTCTGGTATATATTTTCTGGTACTGAATAGGCCTCTCGGCAGGCATAACGTCCTCTAGGGGAATGCCGGTTCCTCATGAGGAATCATGCTGTGCTGGCTAGGTTCTGCCTGTGAGGCTCACCTGCCATAGCCCGCCCTTCTGGACAACAGCAATTGGCTTTGTCCTTCTCTCCTCTCCCCTGGCAGGCTGTGAGCCATTACATGACTTAGGCCATGCTGGATCTTCAGCCTCGTGCTCAGGGGTATCAAAGAGGTACAGGTAGACTCTGTTACTTGGAAGGAAGAGGGGTTGAACACTTCACCCCACCAGATTCACTTTTAGGCAAGTGGGATGGATGCCTATCTGCTGCTGCCACCAGTATGAAAAAGGATGACACTGAGGGGTGGAGCACCTAGTGTCACAGAATCCGAAGAGACTGGAGAAGTAGAACCATTTTCCTATTTGGAAGCTGAAGCACAATCATTTTCACAGTACACATTCTCAACAAGATTACCCTGGTGGCATAAAACAATGTTTGCTAGAATTTATGAAAAAACACCATACAAAACCTTTAAAGGTATAAAGATAAATAAATATAAGACTCCAATCAACATTTATGGGTCCACTGTATCTATAGTGCTGCTGACTCTACCTGCCTCACTTTTACATACTCTCATGTTACAAAGGCTCCTTGGTGGTGACAATTAACTCAGTTTGTGATTAGTTGCTGTATGATTAGGAGCTTAATTCTGTCTTCATTAAGCCTGTCTCATAAAGTGTGTGGGCTTTAGGAGGATCAGGACTGTGGCACTTGGATTCCCACTTGAATGCCCAGAATACTTCCCAAAGTATCTGCAGCAGGAAGGAGGATGAGAGGATGCAACGCCCAGCAGTTTTGGGTGCCAGGACTCTTGCTGCCCAGCAGTGGAAGTGCTTGTGGTCATCAGGGCAGGTGTCCAGGGCTTCTGGAGAAGGGGAAGCAGCAGAGGTGCCCCTGGCATGAGGGAAGTCCAGGTGGGGAGGGAGAGGACTCAGGAAGGTGTTCACATAACAGGCAGCGGATGGGCAGCTACCCTGGATAGCAGCTTTAGGGCGGCTGTGCCACAGGCCGACAGTAAGCATACTGATACGTGAATGGCCTTTACTGGGTAAGAAGGCAGCACTCCTAGGTACAGAGGTACAGGGACAGCACTCCTTGGTGGATGGAAAGGCAGCTCCGACTTGCAGAAGACATTGCCACTTTTCATGAAAAGCACTTTCACTCAAAACTCCACTGTCTTAGAAAACTTTAGATTTCCTCAGGGATGACGTCCCAGGTTCACACTAGCAACAGAATACCTTGCTATTCCTAATCCCTAAGCAGGCACACAGGTCTTGTGTATGAGAGACAAAGAAGGTTTCAGGACTCCACCTGGGCTCGTTAAACTCCATTACCCAGAACCTCATGGCTAAGAGGGAGGGGGCAGGGGGCAAGAGCTGCTGTCCTGATGCCTGCCCATCCCAAAGGAACCTGTCCATCTTTACTAGGGAAGGATGAGAAATGAGGGGGGAAAAATGACACTGGTCAGGACAAGCCACTTTATTTAAGAGCTTCAAAAGCCAAAAGTGGTTTAACATAGATGCATATGGAAGAGATATCTAGCTGCTAAAACCCTCAACTTGAAAGGCACCTAAATTATAATTTTGAAGGTATGTTTCCTCTTAAGATTTCACATAGTCAATATTTCAAGTTGACTACACTTCACACCAGCTGTCTGATCGCTATCTGCAGATCTCCTCAGAGGAGGAGACTGCATTCAGTTCAATGCCACATCTACGCCTGTGGTCTTTGGTATCTGCCAGACAGTGGTGAGGACTGGGAAGATTAATAAATATCATAAAAATCTCAGCAGCTCTTATTCACTGAGTGCTTTCCAGACTACATGCTGAGTGCTGAGTCACTGCTTCAGGTTCTTACCTTGGTGAGTGAGCCAAACAGCCTTATTCAATAGCTACAATGAGACCCATTTTACAGATGCAAACTTGGTTTAGAAAGCTTCTATGACGTGTGGGAGGTCACACAGGCAATTTACCTGGCTACTGCCATGCTGCAACATATGTAAGAATGCTTGCTCTCAGCAAATGCTTAAAAGCATTAGTTATCTCTGTCTTCATACTCCCTTTTTTAAAAAAATGACATATACACTATGGAAAGTTTATATTTGGTTTATTTTTATTTACTGAATCTATCGTTCATGTATTTTATGCACAGAACTGCTGGGTACGAGGGTTATAAAATTGAGCTTCACACCTCCTTTCTCACTGAAAGGTCTCAGTACCTGGTGTAACCACATATGTACCTACATACAGGCAGACCCTGTAAAAGCTCTGTATCCTGCCATAAGTTAAAGGTAACAGCTTGAAAGAGACACTTTTAGGCTTCTTTCAGCCTTAGTCCCTGCTTCCTCCAACATCGGCTATTTTCGGCCCAGAGTCTCCAAAGATACTCGGACTCCTAGGCCTTTTAACAGCGAGGCTGCCCAGAAGCCTGTTATCACGCAGAACAGCTTTCTCATCTGGAGGCTGAGGCTTTCTAGTACAACCACATGGACAGATAATCCAACTCTTGCACTAATCACCCTGCGCAGTTCTTCGTATTCCACTACCTTTGCCCAGCCCCCATCACCTTGTTTCATCAACATTTGCCTGAAATAAGAAATAGGCGGCAGCAGCAGCAGCACTAGTAACTCCCCACATGCCAGGCACCGTTGTACCTATTTTAGGTACCTGTAAAAATCCCCATAGTAGCCTCTAAGGTAGCCATCATACATATTTCTGTATTCCTTTATTCAGAGGAAGCAGAGGAAACATCTGTTCAGGGCCAGTTACACGCCAAGCATCAGCTAAGCTTGCACAGTTCTTACAACCCAGAAGCTGGGTGACCAGGTCTGTGACCACCAAGCTTCCCTTCTCTTTGTGGCTGGCCACTGCCACTTTTTTTTCTTTCTTTCTTTTGTACAGGGAATTGAACTTACAACCATGTGCTTGTCAGGCAGGCGCTGTGCTGCTGAGCTATATCCCTGGCGCCCACTGCCATGGTTTGAGATGAGAAACTGGCTGCACCAGGGCTCCCTCTCCCTGATCCCTCCAATACTTTCTGTTAACATCTGTCCAGAGGTTTCTGACCACCCCAACAAAAGGATGGCACCAGACCCCTTCTTCAATTGTGCTCCACACTCCGGCCCTCCCAGGGAATGTCACAGAGCAAAGGTGGAGTCTTGGCCAACACTATGAACAGAGCCATAGGTGACATCAGGACCCTGATTCCTTTCTCTCTCTCTCTCTCTCTCTCTCTTTATTGGTACCAGGGATTGAACTCAGGACCTTGCACTTGCAAGGCAGGCTCTTATGCCAATGTGCTATCTTTCTGGCCCAGCATCAGGATCCTTAAGCCCATAAAATATACCAGTGCCTGACAGGTGTTTCCCACAGCCCAAAATGCTCTCCCAAATCCAGGGCTCTTGGGGTTTAAGAGACCTCAGCCAGAGAAGAGCAGCCTCTGGAGAGCCTTCTGACCAGTTTGAATGATCCCAGGAGTGGAAAGCCACCGTGAAGGCCGGCCAGCTCCTTGCTCTGGTTGCATCAGGCAGCACCTGGTGCTTTATTACACCTGGGCCACTACGCGGCTCCAGGTGCTGACAGAGGGCGGCATCTGAGTTCTCTCTGAATCCTAGGAGCAAGGGAAAGTGGTTGCCAGTTCACTGTTTCCTGGATGAATGACTAAGCCAGTTCTCACCTCAGAAAACAGACTGTGAGACTCTCACTTGACCAGGGCAAAGGGCTAAGGAGAGGGAAAGGGAGCGCTCAGAGGTAGCACTGCTAGGTCAGTCCCAAGAACGCGGGGATCCTGGCACTGCTTCTTTCCGTTGCTTCCTTAACTACTGTCCTCATGGGCAGGTACAGTCCCACCTTCTAGGAAAAGAAGTCAAGCGTAGGACACCAGCTCTCTCAGCAGGCCCTACTGATCCTCCTTCCTCAAAGGACATTTGCTGAAGTTATTTTTAAGTACTGAGTGAAGGCTACTGGAGGCAGGATCCGAACCCAAGTCTACTGTCTGAGCGGGAGTCAGTGGGAGTCACCGGGGTCAGGGGAGTTAGGACAACACTCGCCCCAGCGACAGGGGGCGAGGCCAGTGGAGATGAGGCGGGCTGTTCTCCAGCAGCGCCGACGCCACCTGTCTCGCCCGGAAAACTAGAGCCGGGTCTCCCCGAAGGCGCGAGTCACGTGGGCCCAGGCGTCCAGCCCAGATCGAGGTCGTCGCAGGCGCCCACGCAGGCAGGAAGGGGCAGGTGAGGTCTCCTGGCCGCGCTTACCTGAGCCTCACGGGGCTCCGCAGCAGCAGCAGCACCGGGCGAATCTCGGGCGGGGCGCTGTAGGGCCAATCAGGCGTGTCGCCCACGCTCAAAGATCAGAGACCATGACGGTTGTCTGGACAGACGCCGTGGCTTCCGGGTCGGGCCGGACGGCTGCCGCGCCGCCCCCGCCCCCCTGCGCTGGGGGCGGGGCCTAAGGCAAACTTGACCTCGCGCTTCCCGGGCTCCCCGCCGGGGCGGAGTCGGAGGGAAACCTCTCTGCGCCCCGCCCCTCTCCGTGATTGGCCCTAAGACGGCCCGCCCCGCCCCGAAGCTAAGCCCCGCCCACTAGGCCTCCCCTCCCTCTCTAGCGAGCCCCTAGGCAGGACCTTTTTTGTTGTGTGCTCATTTGCTTTTTATTTTTCTGTGTTTTGCATGCCGGTTTTTTTTTTTTTTACATTACCTTTTTTTCTTAAAGATTTAATTAAAAATCAAGGTAATGCAAGAATCCTTTTTTACAAAACAAAATTATCACATAATCGAAGCAACAGGCCCCGCTCCCTTGGTCCCACCCTCAGGCCTTTTGTCAGTTCTTTCGTCTAATTCTTCTGGTGGTCACCTCGTGTCGCTAAAAAATAAGCTTACATAGCGATTTCTTGATTTATCTATTGACTTTCTGCCATGTTAGATGAGGATTTACTCCCTTACTGCGCCCCTGTTTCCCTCTGGCAAATTTACACCTCTGCTCTCTGGTAGCCCAAGACCTCAAACCAGAGGAGCCTGAAGGTTTTCTGGGGACGGATGGTTTTACAACTGTGGAAGCTGAGAGAAGGGGAGACTGTACTAGAAAAAGAATAGAGAATTAAGGCTCAGAGGGTAACATTTATTTAGAAGGACAAAAGAAATCCTAGGGCTTTTGAGATTCCAGTCCTTATCCCCTGAGATCTTCATAGGTCATTTAGGCCCCCAATTTGCTGCTCTAAAGCAATCATAACTCCCAGCATTCACCTGTGCCTGGCCATGAAGAGACAGGCCCCCAGGGGCAAGATTCACCAGTTCTTGCCTATTGGATTTCCTGATGAAGTGAATTTGAGTGTGTTAAAAAAAAAAAAAAAAAAAGACATCGAGGATGATGTCAATGTTTTGTGATTGCTGTACATTTAATTTCTGGCTGATTCCCATCACAGTGATAAGTCCTCACCTGAATATAGAGACTGCTCGGTGAAGTTGGTTCTGGGCTTTATCATTTAGATCCTCACAGTGCTCCCCTGAGGTTGGATGGGCAGGCACAGTGTCCCTAAACTTAGGGTACCCCATACACTTGTTCTTGTATAGCACAGGGGGACACAGCTGGTACCTAATATTTCTCCAAGTGAAGGTTACTCTCCCATTCAGACTGAAGACAGGAGTCCATTCCCTCTGTCTCCTTCCTCTCCTGCCTAGGGTGTAAAATGTGTTTCCATAAGATGACCTTGGATATGTCACTTTGTTTTCCCTATAACTGGAGGTAACAGTTTTCCCCCATACTGAATTTGAAGAAATATTAAGAAGCTTAATATCTGAATGCAAAAAAAAGTAATTATCTTTGGATAGTCTTTTATTGTTAAGTCAGTCTGTGTCTCAGTGTAGTGGATGATTTGTGAGAAAGTGTAGGGATTTCTAAGGATCTGTGTGTGGCATATTGCACCACAGGTTGCTTAGAAACTTTGGGTTACAATCAAAGGCCAAGCATTTTGATTCAGGACCATGTAAGAGAAGCTTTCTTCCCAGGATAGTAAGGACTGTGCATCTGTCTAGTCTTAGTAAAGATTTAGGATCTCTTTCTGGCTTTCTGGACAAGAATCAGTGTCTACTTACAGTGGGAGCAAAGGACCTCCCATGAGTGCGAAGCTTTCTAATCTACATGGGAGATAGGCAGTGGCTGAGAAACCCAGTTCTCAATTTTAGAAGGAGAAGCATCTAGGTGCGGATCATATCCTTTCATCACAGTGGCTAATGGGTGACAGGTATAATGGAGCCATCACTTTTGGACCTTTACCTTATTGTTAATTTTATCTCTTGGCTGAAAGAAGATGGCTAGATGATGTTACCTCAGGAAAGGAGAGGATTTTACATAGAAGATTTGCCCTCAAAGCAGATCTCAAGTAGTACCTAGAGTGTTTGGCAGGCACAGGGAACACCTATAGAGAAATGAAGATGTCAGGTAACTGTGTGAAGGAGGCATTTGAAAGCCAGTAACTGTAACAGGTGATTAGAAATGAATCTTGGAGGAATACTCCAGAAAGCAGTGTAAACAGCATACCTTGCAATTATTCTGTTCTGGAGTGTCTGCTGCAGGCAGATCTTCAAGTGCAAAATAACAGAAACTGACAGATTAGTTCACATTTTTAAAGACTTAAGAAATTGTTTCTAGGGATAAAAATGTGGTTCCCCAAATTAGGTCAAACTACAATATAACACTACTTATAGCCTTCCCCTTGCACCTCATTCTGATGAAATGGGGCACTTTGGGCAGCCATAGGGGCATTCCAAGTTGGTAATCATGGTCTTGGGCAGTGTTGTGAGAACATTCTAGAAAATTGGCTCTCAGAGGAGTGGCTGTGATGGGGTTATAGGCTAGGTCAGGCTCTGTGTTTAGATGAGCCAATTCTGACTTTGACTTCTGGGCTTTCTGAAAGAGTGAGCTTTGGCTAGTGTGGTGGCTAGGGTGGAGTTTCAACTTGGTTGTCTTTAGGTCCCAGCCTGAGTGTTGGTAGACCATACTTATAGGTGTGCCTGGGGGAAGGTTGTGGAGCCTTGGCTTCAGGATTCATGTCTGTCCCTCATGCTTTCCTCACTGGCCTCATTCTCCTGTGCTGCCTTCTGGCCTCTAATATACCCTCTGTCATGCTATTTTTGCCTTGGAGTCAATGGATCATGGAATGATACTTTAACAAATAGAACTGAGTCCCTCTTTAGTCATGGGGGTTGGGTATTAAGTCTCAGTGATGGGAAACCTGGCTGATACATAGAGTAAAGATAAAATGTGAAAAAGGAGTCTGATAAACTTTTACTATTAACAAAGAGAGCATTCACAATGTGGGTACTTCAGTACAACTAATGAGTGGACAGTGCTAGTACAAGTCTTGCTTTTATAGTCATGCAAGCAAGTCCTGGAAAGCCTCCATTAAAAATACTAACCATTGAACTAAAGTGATCTCTTAAAAACACAACTCAGGGGGCTGGAGGGATGGCTCAGTGGTCTAAAGCACCTGCTTAGAACAAGCTTAGCAAAAGCATCAGGGACCGCGGTTTGATCCCCCAGCACCACATGCCAGCCAGCCCTGCCCCCTGGTGGGCTGAGCTGGCCTCTCT